CTTGTTGCGAGAGCTCGAGCAGAAGAAACCCCGAAAACAGCTGTTAAATATAGAAAACAATTGCTGATCGTAATTTGTTCAATATGAAAATACTTTTTGTTTAACAAAATTTGTGTTTCATTTTAGATCTTTTGTTTTTGAAAGATATTATAAAATAATAGCGGTCCCATACAGAACAGTATAAACATAAATCGCTGGTGTGACGTATTATTTGATCGAATTTTACAGTCGATCAAAAACATAGATATAGTTTGTTACAATTGAAAGGGTATAAGTTGTAAATTGTGTAAATTGTACATTTTTTGAAAGGGATAGACAGACTGAAATGGCTAGACCGATTCCACATTTGATGCTGATAAAGAACATAGATCCCATATGGTATCGGAGATGCTTCCTTCTAACTCCTACATAATTTAGTACAACTACATTTAACCCTTTTTATATTTTTTAATGGATTCAGGAAACAAAAAAAAACCTGGCAAGAAAAAGCAGAGAGAACGAAAGAGAGCTTCTCAGTTGACGCTAGGGCTACAGTAGACAGAGTCCATATGTTGCAAGTGTAGAAAAGGGGCAACTTCATTTTCTGCTCACGTTTGCAGTTTTTGCTGAAGTGCGAGTGAAAAATTGCCCAGCTGTGAGAATGAAGCCTGAATTATTAAAAATCGATATATATATATATTTCAGACAGTCAAAGATCGGGTAAATCAATGGATAAACAGCTTTATTTGGCTTTACGCATTTTTCAAGGGTAATGCCACAAAACGAAGCTGCAACTGCAACTGCGCCGCTTAATTAGCACATGTTGAAAAGGAAATCATTATGCCTGATAAAAATCACAAGTGTTGATTGCTGCAACTGCAAAAAGAGACAGACACAGCGAGAGAGTGTGAGAGAGAAGGAGGGGGTAAGTGGTAAGAGAGTTGACAGGAAAAACTCAGAGATCGCCAAGCCGAGATCGCTGCTGCTGCAGTTGTTGGCAAACTTGCAACTTGCAACTTCCAACTTGCAACTGGCTGTTATTGTAGATGTGGAAAAACAGCCGCTAAAATGGGCAAAACATGCAGCGCGACCAGCAGCAGCAGCAACAACAGCGCTTATGTATCTGCCACATACATTATGTATGTATCGCTTGTATGCAGCATGTGGCAAGCGGAGGCTAGAGGCAGTGTCGTTGCTGCCGCTGAACGTTGCAAGTGCAAAGAAAATATTTTTTGACGCTTTGGGCCTGCTGCTGCAAACTAGAAAATGTTGCTCGTGGCTGTTGCAAGCAACGTCGCGCCTTGCATTCATGCGCGTAATCAAATTGTAATCACAGCCTGGAGACGAGGGCAGCAAACACATCAACTGCAACTGCAACAACAACAACGGCAACTGCAACAGCAGCTTTTGTTGTTGTTGCGTTGTTGTTAAGTGGAAATACTTGTTGCACAAATGCAATGCGGGATGCTGTTGTTGCTGCTGCTGCTGCTTTGTATCTGCATCTGTACAGTGAAGCCTTGTTTAGTGCAACTTGCATTTGCTCAATCATTCATTAACAGTGTATCAAACATTCAGTAATTTTCAGCATATTTTACGATAGCAAAATAAAAAATAATATTTATATTATTATTTTTTAAAACCTTGATATTTTATGTTTTTAATTTGTGTACATTAATTTTTAATTGAAAAACATTTCTTATACATTTAATAATTATTTAGTCGTATTTCGGTTTCGATGCTGCAAAATTATAGTTTTATTTCTTCTTTACTTTGTTGCTGGTGTCTTGTGCAATTTATTAAATGAAAAAATGCCGTTTTGCAGCTTTCCAACTTGCAGTTTGCCTCTATGCTTCTCTATCTCTTTCTCTCTGTGGATTGACTCAGGCATCTTTTGCAGCAGCCAAATTGAATTTTATGCAAATTTTACTGTTTCTGCTCTAGCAAAAGAAAACAAAAAGGAAAATAAAATCGCCACATCTAATGCATAATGGCACGCATACACAACACACACATCTATATAAATATACATGTATATAAATGTACATGGTTGCGGCATTTAGCGGATTTTATGCAATTGGAAAAAAAAGAAAAGAATTAGAACGCGCCACTCGACTCTGAGTGTATCTCATTCTGAGATACAGATACGCATATCTGACAGAAAATTGATAATTTAGATCGATGCTGCTGTTCCCAATCTCGTTTTTAATTGTTAAGTCAGATTAGAAATGGGATTGGAAGTTTGTTTATTATGTTAGTGGCTTATAAATGTTTCTTTTCTTGCTCGATTCCATCTCAAAAATAATAATAATAATAATGGCCAGCTTTCGCCTAGGCCCATTTTGGCAGCAAACGATTTTTATGTAAAACAAACGAGTTCGAGTTTGGTTGCGAGTTTCGACTACGAAGTCGAGTTCGAGTTAGTATCATAACCGGTAGCTGTTGTTGTTGTCTGTTTTTAGCTGATATTACAATGGATCTGCTGATAATATTAGAGCCCTCAATCATCAGATTTTCAGCTTATCCCCAAAAAATGAGTGATGACCAGATCAACGCTAAGTTTTTTTTCTTTTTTGTTTTTTTTTTTTCGAGTCTCTCTGAAGTTTTCACAATGATCGATGAATCGAGAAACTGTCACCAAACACACAAAAAGCGCCTCAACTTTTGGTTTTACAGTTTTTTTTCTCCTTTTTTACCAATTTTTTTTGCCATGTGTGTAAGAAAAAAATTCCACTGTGTCGCTAGGTTATAGCAAACAATTGGCCAAAACTGGGCAAAAGCGTTATTAGCATGGCCAACAGCGAAGCTGACGCAGCCGTCTTTGACTTTTGGTTTATAAAAAAAAAACGAGAAAAAAACGAATTAAAGAAAACAAAAACGAAAACAAAAAAACGCCCGTTCAAAAAGTTGTACAGACAAGTGAAATACACGAGTATTTCAAATACCCTACATGAGAGTCATTTCCAATTTTTATGCAGTTTGTCACCAAATAATATAAAATAGTTATTGATAGGAAAAATTGATTATTAAAATTTTTTTAATATATAATTTTTGAATTTTACAGTTAATAAAAAAATTATATTCTTATCCAATTTTCAATTTTTACTTTGTTAATCCAGAGTAACTTAATTGAAATGAATTTAAATTGATTAACTGAATTTCCTTTTCGAACTTTTCCATTTCCATCCATAAATATTTTTGTAAGTGTTTATCATTAATCTACAAAACTCCCGAGTCTCCCACAAGGGTATGTAATTTTCGGCATTGATTATCGGTTCGTTCACCGCCGGGATTTGTTGCTCCTCCTCCTACCCCTCCTCCTCACCGATGAACCATGAAGAGAGCCCCGAAGTTGCCCGAGGCTTGGCTCGCTTCGCCTCATGGTATAAATTTATTTATGGCTTATTGGAATTTTTGCGCGCTACCGGCAGCAATTTTTAAAATTCAATAACAGCTCGCATGCCGGCAGAGCGAGATAGATGCGCTGTTGCTGTTGGCGAGACGATGATAGAGAGATAAAGAGAGAGAGAGAGAGAGAGCGATAGGGAGAGAGATATGTATAGCGAAAGATGGGGCGAAATAATTGTGGCAAAAATATGCGAAACGTGCAAAGTGCCAATAAATTGAGGGAAAAAATTAAGAAGAGGAGCGCACACAATAAATACTAGACGGCATTACACGCACATACAACAATTTGTGTGTCTGTGTTGGGGGGGTATTTTTGTGGCGAGGAGATTTTGACGATGCACTTGGGAAGTTTGGGAAATTGGAGAATCGCGAAAGATCCTGTAGAGATTTCAGGCATGTGTGGAAACTAAAGTTAAATATTCTGCATATTTATTCCACAGATTCCAGTCATGACCCACAAACACACACACATGCGCAGATGTTTCATTTCATTTTTGCTGCGAGAAAATTCCTCAACGCTTTCGGTTTGTGTTTTAAAATTGAGTGAAACATTTTCAACAATGTCCAATTGCAATTTGAAACAAACAAAGCGAATGTTTGTGTTAATTGAAAGCGTGAAGCGAAAACACACACACAAACAGAAATCAATTATTTCGAAACTGCAAAAATTCCAACAACATTTGCAATTGTTTATGGTAAAAAGACGAGTGAGTGAGAGAGAGACACACTGAGCTGGAGAGTCACAGCTCGCTCGCTCTCTCTCTCCCGCTCTGTCGCACGCAAGACAAGAAAAATGTGAGCGAACGGCAAAAAAAATGCTCGTGGGGCCAACTAAAATATATATATATATCTATGCGATGGCCTGATGTGAAGCTCTCCGTCCGCTCACCCCCTCCCTCTCCTAGTCTTGATCACACACAAATGTGTGCCTATTGCTGCAGCGCTCTCTCTCTCTCGCTTGCCTGTGCCTCTCTCTACACATACAACTCTACACATTACGTATGAGGGATTTTTAGTTTTGCTCGCTTTTTATTTAGTTTTGTTTTTTTTTTTTTTGCAGATCATTCGCTGAGCTTTATTTAACTTTTGCTCTCTTTGCTCTCTGCTTGGCCCCCACTATATTTGCCCCCCACCCTCCTGGTCATAGCAACGCCTTGTTGTCTGTCGTTCGCTTTGCTGTACATTTTTTTTGTTTGTTGCTGTTGCTGTTGCCGTTGAGTTCAGTTATACTTGGAGTCTTAATCATCGCATTGGAATGTTTACATGCTCAAAAGTGTTGTTTTTTTTTGTATTCTGTTTTATGTTGTTGCCCTGTTAAAAATATGTGGCTGTAATTTATTTTGCTTTTTGCAGCTGCCGCTCTCTGACTCTGCTGCTTCTTCTTCCCGCATTCCAATGCACAGACACACACAAGCAGAGGCAGTCACACGCACTAACAAACACACACACACACACACACACACATGCGACGCACCTTTTCTTTCCGGTTGGAATTGGAATTTATATGGTTTTTTTTTCCAGTCTCTGTCTCTCTTCCTTGAGCAGACATCTCTATAAACTCTCTTATATATATCTGTTGATATATATATTTTATCTTTTATTTCTTTTAGACTTACCGATCTCGTGGATCGAGCCATGTGGTCTTTTTGTTGATATGATCAATGTAATAGGTTTTGCCATCAAAATCCCTGGCAATGTCCCAGCCATCGGGTAACGGGAATTCGCTGTGATGATGATGTATTGGATGTTGATGATGATGATGATGATGTTGTGGAAGTGGCTGCTGGTGCTGTTGTTGTTGTCGCTGCTGATGTTGCTGTTGTTGCTGCTGATGTTGATTCGACATTTTGGCAACGAGCGAAAAAAAAACTTTGCGCGCGATTTTTTTTTTCGATTTTATTTTTTGGTTTACTTTTTTTTGTTACTTTGCTTTGCTTTGCCTTGTGCAATGTACTAAATACAACAACATATTAACACTCGTGCGAGCGTGAGCGAGAGTAGAGAGAGAGATGGGAAGATGTGCAGCTTCCAAGGCGCGGGCGCGCGCTCTCAATTATTTATTTATTTTTTTTTCCATAACTGCATTCCATTCCAGCACACACACACGCACACACAAATACGCGCGCGCACAAGTCACTCACACACACACACACACAGAGACGCTGGGATGTTTTAGTTGTCGCTGCTTCTTCTTCCTCCACTCACAAGTCACACAAAAAATCGAGTGCAATTGAAATATTTTTGTGCTTAATTGAAACTAGTTAAAAAATAATTCAGCATTTGGTAAACCGATATTTATTAAGAGATCGGCGTGTATATATAACAAATTGTGTTTCTTGTAATTATTTCTTAGCGAATGCAATTATTTTTTACGATTATTTTTCTTGCATTTGAGGTGATCTTATTGGTTTTAAGCTACCGCACAGCCGACCACACTCTTCGACATCAAATTCTACAATAACAAAAGCCATGTTGCTCAACATTGTGCATGGGAACACATTGGCAGCATGAACACTAACAGTACCATGTAAAGTTTACAGTTTGTGCTCAAATGAACTGCGCGAGCGCTGTTAAGCTCAAAATGGCACTGTCAATTGCACAGGCTTAATTTGAAAAATCGTACACAATTGAATAATGGTTTAATTGAAAAGAATAACAATTAATATTTGACAATTATGAAGTGATTAATATTTAAAGTGCCTAGCGATCAATGTGTTTAGAGCAGTTATGAGCAGGTTGAAAAAATGTAGCATTTCGTCAAGTGAGGAGCAGGTGTAGAGTTTCATTGCGCAAACTGAACACGTGAGAGCGCCAGATGTTCCATACAGTGTTCAAATTTAATAGCAGCGCCATCTAGGAGTGACTCTAAGAATTAAATTAATGATTTGAATGTGGACGACTAATCGATGCCCTGCATATAGCGGCAGACACAGAAGTGGAGAGAGAGAAAGAGAGGTTAAGCTGACAAAGTAAAGGGCGACTAATATAATACATTTTCAAGTTTCTTTTGTGCCTGCCCTTTTCATCTACTTCTTTGTTGTTGTTGTTATTCACGCCTCGCATTATTATATCAAATTAGGGCTTCCGCACTTTTCAACACTGTTTTGTTATGCATTTTTAATTAGTTTTCACAACAACGCAACTTTTTGTGTAATTACACAACACACGACACACATGCATATGCATGCATGTATGTGTATGTACATGCGAAGTTTCTGAGCACAATTATAACACGAAAAATGGTAAATTTATTTTTTTTTCAAACATACGCCTTTATCGCTGTTTCGCTCACTCTTCCACAGCTGACGTCGCCCTTTCATCTACCTTCCTTTGCCATTGCCTTGTTTGCCCTTTGCTGAGCTGCTTTAATGAGATAAGAACTGAAGTTGCTGAGAGGCTTGCCACACCCACAGACACACACATACACACGTACACACACACTTGGCTTAATCATTCGAAAGAGGAAAAAGCAGTAGAAGAGGAAGATGAAGCAGACTGCAGATAACGCACAAAAAGAAGCAACAAAAAATAAGAAATCAACAAAAGCAATCGCAAAATAAGATTTTGATAAATCAAAGCTTTTCATTATGTTATAAATACATTAAAAAGAGCTAAAAAAAAGGTATAATGCGAGAAAAGAGTGCAAAAGGCAGAAGAGAGCATCCATAACCCCATAAAGTATATATATTCTTGATCGGCATGGCAAGTCGAATCGATATATAACAAATAAGAGCTAATAAAGTACTTGAATATTTATATATTTATTTTTATTTCAACGATAACTCCTCCCATTTGCTGAATATCGATAAATATCGATTTCCCATCGCAATAATAAATAACACTTTTAATTTATGTACACTCAGAAAAATTAACACGCATTTTGCATACTTTTGAGCTTATTATGCAGAAAGTATTCATTTAAAAAAATAGGAATTATCTTTTCTTACCCCCAGGACACATTTTTCCATTTACAGTAATTTAATTTATAGATCGGTATAAAATTGTCTATATTATATAAAGCAATGAAATGCAAATAGTTTGGCTGTGAATTATTTATTATAGACTTTTGTTATTATTATTTTTATTATTATTATTTTTAATTTGCATTTATCTAAAGGCCGAGAAATTATTGAGACATGCATGACAAACTATTATATTATATTCGAAAATTATATGTGGTACTAGTTACTCTATAATTATGCTCAGTGTTCTGTTATCTGCCCGATAATTAATTTGAAAATAACTAGCATGTCAAAGCATGTTATTATCGATAGCAGAACGAAATTGCATCGATCCACATATCCAAATTTAAAATCGCATTATGCTTGTCGGAGCATGCACTCGAAAGAGAGTTTTAATTAATGCCAAAGTGAGTGCCACAGAGTCCACAGTGTTTTCAGAGACTGACGGAGCTAAAAGCTATTCCACTATAACTATTCAGTGAGGAGAATAACTTTGGCCATAGCCAAAATGCTGAGTGCAAGAAAATAAAAAATAATAATCCAAAAATTAATGAAACACTCAAGTTGGCAACCCGCTCATGCCACCTGGCCCACAAGACCAAAAAGTTTGACAAACACGCATCACCAGAAAGGAGAGTGGCAGCAGTTAGAGATGATTGCGTGTCGTGACACGAAATTATTAAGTTTCATCAATAAATTAACGAGAAGTTAGTAAAGAATTTTTAATTATTGCTATGATATAATTAAGAAGACTAGTTTTAAAGAGGATATTTTAATGTTGCCGTTATTAAATGCGACGACGCCGACTCCACAAGGTATATATATTCTTGATCAGCATCGCAAGTATATATAGGTGTCTGCCCGTCCTTTTCTAGTCAAACTAATGCCTCAGTTTTCAATCTATATGTTCGTCAGCTGACTATACCACATAGCTGCCATTGGATCAGATCACTATATCACATAATTGCCATAAGAACGCTCGATCAGAGATCTTGTATAAACAGCTTTCTAGTTTAACAAGATATCCTAATCAAAGTTACTAGTTATTCCTTTTGTTATACTACCAACATTTATATAAATATTCATTGTGATCGAAATACTATAAGATAATGCTCAAATCGGAACGATTGAGAGATAATTCTTATAAACAATAATGCCATTGAGATCGATTTACTAAACTTAACCAAATTTAAGTAAATTATGAGTATTATTATGTTGCTTGCATTTTGATCAAAATTATCGACATCGGCAGAGAAAAGCATAGAAAATTAAATAAATATAGATTAATCTTTGCTTTCGGATTGAAAGTAAGCCAAAGCATCAACATGACCAACGTAGAATTTCCAATTCTTGCTCCTGTTTTAAAAATTGCGACACGTTCCCATCGCTGTGCAGGATGCATTGGCATGCAGTGGGTAAAGTGAAACTTAAGCTACACTTCGACTCTGGCACACACACACACACACACACACACACACACACCACACACATGGAGACACGCGCAGTTGCACACGAGTTTGGCACCTGACCAGATCAGGGTCATAATCCGCTTGCCAGAAAACCAAGAGCACCATAAGCAATAACAACAGCAACTGGGACAACTAAAACAACAACAACAACAACAATTGTTGCACAATCAACTTCGACAGAGGCAACGTTCCGTAAAACTGCCAGAGCATAAAGAGCCTCCAGAGAGGGGGGGAGGGGAGTGGAGGGGAGCATAGGGTTTTGGGCATGGGACTGTCGATGCTAGTTTTGCTTTTGTATTTGCAGTTAGCTCCGGCTCCAGCTCCGGCTCCAGTTTCAGATTCAGCTTCGGCTTTGGGTTCGTCCTGGCCACAAATCGTCTGCTAAAATCCATTGTGACTTTCGTGCTCCTTGGCACAGCCCGGAAACTGCAGCAGCGTCCTGTGCTCCTGTTCTAGGTAGCGGCCAGCTACTAACTTTGGCAGCAAATTAGATTCCAGCGCAGTTTTCGGTTTTCGTTTCGGGGTTTGTGGTCCCCATCGAAAAAACGGCAAACAAAGAGCAGGACTGAAAATAGGAGACAAGTAAAGCCCTGTCCCAAATCCAAATCCAAGGTGACATCGCCAGACCCAAAGCAAACCCAATGAAATCCAACGCAGCGCATCGCAGTCGAAGCATTTTAAAAGCATCTTCAGCATAAGTCAATGAATTCGATTAGCAGATACCCTGTCTTTGAGAAATAGTTGTGTTATAATTATAATTTGAATAAATAATATAAATAATATTGATTGCCTTGGCTGATATAATAAAAATTGTATTTAATTTTGCTTAAGCGAATCAAAATAATATTAAAGAAAATATTAAATTTAAAATAATAAATAAAATTTATAATTTTCATTGCATTTTTATTGTTGAGATCTTTTCTTCATTCCTTATTTTCTCATGACTTCAGAACGTATCTTTTGAATTCCCTTTTTTTATTAATACTATAAGAAACGGAGAATAAAATTTGAATTTTAAATTAAATTTAATAAAATGTATTACAAAATCGTAAATCATTTTTATGTCGATTTTTTTTTTTGTAGAAAAATAAAAATTTTATCAAAGTTCTGAAACGATGACTATTTAGATTGACTTAGAGGATTATTTAATATTGTTTAAATTGAAATAAAATATTTGAAATAAGATTAAATTATCGTTCAGATACAAAAAAAAAAAACGATGCAGACAAAAAAAAATGCATACACAGCATTTATTATTTACTGTTGAGTAATAAAGAGAACAACTTTTTATATTTCGTATTTATAAATAAACTCGAATTGTATTTACGAAATGAAAAACTTTATGTC